TACCAATGTACATGCTCTAATAAAACTATTGAACAACAAATCATATCATTGTTATGCAAGGAAAAATGTCTAGTTTTATTGGAAACCGATACCAACTCAAAGGCCAAGAGAAAACTCATGAAAAACTTTGGTTACTAAGTCTTAGTTTTTTTATTAACATTCTTGAGAGAATCTACGATATGATATTGATATTGTTTGAGCGTCATGACTTCATTATGCAATGCAATGAAATTGTTCCTCATTATGTCTTCGCAATCTTTGATGATTGTCTCATCAACTTCTTCTTTCATTAATCTTTGTCTTAGCTTATCGGTCGAAACCGAGACATTAGTCGTTGTTGCCATTAGCTCTTCGTTTGACATTCTTGGAAACGTTTCTTTCACAGCTTGCAATGCTTCGATCCAAGCGGTACGATCCTCGCTTGTTGCTGCTCGTAATTGCAGACTCTTAGTACCGGTAAATATAGTGAATCTCTTTCCGTCTGATATGCTTTGTCCAATCGATGAAACCTGTAAGAAAATCCATAAAAAAAAATGTTTAAGGTATATTAGAAAACTTTTATAGAATATTGGAGCACTATGAAATCTGAAAGATACATTTTAAATCACATGCATTTTGGGTGTTTTGTGATAATTATAAATGCGTATAGGTTACATTTCGAAGTTTTGTAAAATACTGTGGTGTTCACAAATAGATCGAAACATTGATGAAGTTGGCGGAGAGATTCTCCAGGGCTAAGAAAACAACATATGAAAGTTTATAGATATCTAGGGAGCATTTGAGTAAGACCTGTAAATTTTTTATAAAGTCACAAATTAATATATATGTAGTGGTGGATGTGAAAAACAGCAAAATGTATGGGGATGTATTAGAAAACTTTTATAGTATATCGAAGAACATGTGAAATCATAAGCATTTGGGGTGTGATTTTTCCGCAATTAGATACCAATCATTCCAAATCGAAATATCTAATAATTTGCATTTCGAAAATTCTATATAACGTATTTGTATTCTCGATTTAAAATCGTAGACGGAAATGGAAACATATGCAATGCAAATAAAGGTGTATTTAATAATTTCCTAATACCAAACCTTGAGATGAATTTGTCCGAGCGGTTTTCCGGGACTATGAACATCACCGCGTTTGCTATGTCGACAAATAAACCGTAAAGATTCGCCGCCGATCAGTTTAGATCTCCGATCCATCTCAACGGACAAAGAGATTTTATCAGGACCATGGATTCTGTAATAAGACAAAACTCCGTCCTGAAGAACAAACCACCTTCGTTTCCAACCTTGACCGTAATTTATCCATTTATAGAGGATTCCGGCGACTCCGTGTCCCGACGGTGACCGATCTTCGTTCGTACGAGGACCGGCGGAGAGACTGTACCGGAGATCGTGGTCGTGATTTGAAGTGGTGGATTGGGGAATGTTTAACGAAGCGGATCGAGTCGTTGCGTTTAGGTTTGATTTTGCGGTGAGTGGAGTAGAAGACATTGTTAGGGAAAAATGAAAAATCGGAGAAATTAGGTTAAAGAGTGGTTGATATAAAGAGAGAGAGAGAAACAAGGAGAAAACAAAGGTGCGAAGTTTGCGTGGGACGTAAGGTAGCATGAGGTGCGAAGTTTATGGAACAAAATGTTTTAAAAATGGTAGAAAATTTGGATATTGGTGAAGTGTCACGTAAGTATTGTAAGTATTTGGGAAATTAGGCTCAATAACTATTAAAAAATTATAACTCAATAAATAACCAATTCCCCTAAATATAATGGCCACATTATTGTCACATATGCCATTTTTCTTAGATTTTGAATTATAATTTTTTTTGTGGTTTACCCGTAATATTTTCGGATAAAAAAGTATCTACTATCATTGTATACAAGATTTTGTAAGAAGAAAAATTGTTAAAATTTGATGGAAGCTTATAAAGAGGCATTGAATAATATGATAATGTGTGATTGGGTAGGTAAATGAAGTCGACAAACTTGGTTTTATTAGAGCATGTACATTGGGGTGATCTCAAGTGTGTTCTTAAAATATAAAATTATTAAAATTTGAGTAAAAAGAAAAAAAAGAGTGTTTTTGTGGGGTATATTGAAAATAAAATTAATAAAATTTGAGTAAAGAGAGAAGATAGTGGGTGTGTTTAAATATAAAATTAATAAAAATTGAATAAAAGGAAAAGAGAGTGTTCTTAAAGTAGTACTTTTAGATAGTGTTCTCAAAATGAAGTGAGAGTGTTTAAATATAAAATTAATAAAAGTTGAGTAAAAGGATGAAAGAGAAGGTATAAAGTTGAGTAAAAGGAAGAGAGAATGTGTGTTTTAATAATTTAATATTTGAAGAACACACTTGAGAGCACCCCAATGGACATGCTCTTAAACATATGATAATAAACGACGTCGTTTCTTCGAACTGACAAAACGGCAGCGTTTGGAAACTGACGTAACGAGCCGCGTAGAAAACTTATGAAACGGCCCGTTTAGAAATTCCTTGAAACGAAGCCGTTTATGAAAATGATACAAGCCCCCAAAATGATACATTCGATTACAGGAAATCAAATAAGACACCGACACATCCTCATAAGCAAACGTCTTCCCTTCAAAAGCTAACAAATTAACATACCAATTTACATGATCCAAAAAACCGTAGAATCAGATAATAACTACATCTTACTTACTTTTTGTCTCCTTCAAGACCTAGTAACAGATCTTGGAGTTGAAGACAAAGTTCTGAAACCCGAGAGAGAAGTTGATGTTTTTCGTCTCTTGAATCTAACAGATCATTTCTTGGAAGAGGAGCAGGATCTGTAAGCAATTGTTCAAGCTGAGAGATCATTGTGTTTGCTTTATGGTCATCACTACCAAAAGATTCAGCTATGTGACTTAGCAGTTGAATGCTTTTCACTTGACGCTCGGGTGGGATCGGTGGAGCAAGGAAAGGGTGTTGGAGAAGCTCAGGGATTCTCCATCTTTGGTTACGGTCCCAAGCTAGACATTTCTTCATTAGATCGATAAGCCACGGGTTTGAGAGCTGATTGTAAGTAATCTCGTGGTTTGGATCGGTTATGACTTTGAATTTCGCCCAGAAGGTCTTATAATCTGCAAAAGGCGTTCTTCCGTATACCATTTGGTATAGTATGCAACCAAGTGACCAAATATCTGATGGCCTTCCGCATTTTATAGTGTTTCCATTTTCATCGGTTTCGTTACACATGAATGCTTCTGGTGACATGTAACTCAAAGTCCCCACCTGTCACAATACATAACCCCATTGATATCACTAGCATGTAACTGAAAACATAACAAATGTTTGTATATAAGAGTATGATGGTGACAAAAACAGAAACATGGGGGAGGATTGTACTTGTGAATCTCGTTGAATATTCGTAGTGTCACTATTGATGGCCTTAGCGATACCAAAATCGATAAGCTTTAAAAAGCCTCTGACAAGAAGGAAATTTGCGGGTTTCAAATCAGAGTGCACAATCCGTTCCTCGTGTATGGTGTTCACAGCTTGAAGTATTTGCTGCAAGCGTTATAGTTAATATGAGAATAGAGCTTCTTCTAGTATTATTGCAACAAGTCAAGAAAAAAAGTTGATGGGTTGTGTAAGAACCTGCCAGTAGAACCGAAGCCAATTTTCATCAATTGTCCGGTCAGACCCTTCAATTTCCTTCCATTTTTGGGACAACATGTGAGCCAGATCGATTTCTCCATATTCCAGTACCATATATATAAATCCATCGTCCTTAACTCTTCCCTCTTTGTTACTCATTGTGCCATTCAAAACCTCCTGGAGTAAAGTCTTATCCGTGACCTGATTGCAAAAGAGAATTTGTGTTATGGTTGTGATGGAAATTGTCAAACCATGCACTTAGATCACAACAAGAACTAAAAGGAAGTACCTCATAGTCTACTAGCTGAATGATGTTGGTTTTCCCTTTCAGCTTCTTTAGATATCCGATTTCCTGGCAAAATCCATATGCTGTAGCATAGTCACGACCCTTGAGCTTGATTTTTTTGAGCGCGTATATGGTACAATCTGAAGAAATAACTTTGTGGACCTCACTGCTCCCTCCACTTCCTATCTTACCAAGCCTTTGATAGAGCTTTCCGTTGACTTTAAAGAACAAGTCTGGATCATAGTTTCTTTTACGAGGCGCTGACGTTCCTTTGCTACTTGCAGCCTTTTCATGCTTATCTGGTTTCTGTGGCTGTGAACTAACACCGGTAAGCAACTCATCGGGTAGACGAGCATTGGCTTGTCCATCACTCCCATGAGTGGAAGATACCACTGGAACTTCAACTTTTGTTGTGCACTGTTGCTGCGTAGACTTATCTGTCTGTTTGACTCTTAATTCTGTATCAATAGTTGATGAAGGAATTTCAGATGCAGGAGCATCCTTATTCGCATGTAGAATGTTCCTGTCCTTGGAAGAAGGATGAACAGAAGGCAAGTTCCCTGGACTTTTAACAGCATGGGGATTTGCATTTCGATCAGCCTCTACATACGAACGAGAGACTTGGGTAGTTGCATTTAACATAGGAGCTGAAGATGAATGGATTAGCGTAGTTGTAGCACAGGATGAACCCATGACAGAACATTGAGATGCAGGTTGATTCAAGAAGTTACGAAATTCTCCCAGATGACCCTGTGTCTTCGCCAATGAAGACGAAACCTTGTATTCAGATTTCAAACTGATCTCAGACTCTCCAGTCTGTTGATTCTGATGTCTTGATCCAGTACGACCACCGAGATTTGATGCTTCAGCCTGGTTTGTTGCATCCCATTCCATATCTGCCAGGGACAAGTGAGTTCAAGTAAGATTCTTAGTTCAACAATCCAACCGTAACCATGCCTGTGTCAGTTGAGCCAAGTGAGTTCAAGTAAGATTCCTAGATCCCCTTTGTTCAGCTTTTGGAAAAAATTCAAGTTTTTACTAACAAAAGCAAAGCATAAAAAGTCAGGATACCCAAATGAAAGGTAAGGGCATTACCATGAGAAGTGAGGGTGCTACCAATAAGAGATTGGACCTTTTTGTGAGCATTTTCGTTACGAGATCCTATATCCAATTTGCTTTCTAAATTAGCAACAGTGGGTTTTGGCAAATCCATCTGTCTGTCTGATGGCTTGAAACTCTCACCAAACATATTATTAATAGTTCCTGAGACTGAAGGTGGCGTAATTGACGCATTGTCGATAGATTCTCCAGCAACGGAAGTGGCTAAGTTTCTTGTATCCTGTGTCAACGTATTAGCAGCAAGACTCTGACTTAGCGAAACAACATCCTGAGATCTCTGCCCTTCAGCTGTAGAACCTGTTACCAAACGTGAACCTCTTGAAGCCTCTCGTTTCGGAACAACACTTCGCCGAGGCCCGATAGTAGTCGTCTGCATATCTGAAAAACGAAAGCTATAAGAGATCTTGCAGCAACTCACTCAACTAAAGAGTTTAGATACCAAAAAACAGCTAAAAGAAGAACAATTTTAGCGTCCTCATAATCCTGAATTCGTCTCCATTATCACTCACACCACAATATACATTTCAGTAACCTAGCGAGAACAATTAACCATTCTAAGAAGCTTTGAATGATGAAGTATTAAAGCTCGAAGAACTTAACTTTCCCAAAAAAAGCCCTAAATTCCTTCAATTTCAAAACGAGATGAGAGAAATGCGAAACCCAAATAAACCCTAAATTAGTCAAATCAAAAGTTCCAGAAATAGAAATTTTCTCTTGCCCAGAGAGAGAGAGAGAGTACTGAGTGGACGGTGGCGTTTGAAAGCGGCTTGGAGATGGCGAATAAGTTCCGGCGAGGAGGAGGAAGAAGACGATGTTGATTCCTGGTTTAAGATGGGTCTAATCAGACTCTTCGGAGGTTTATCCGGTAGGACCGGAAGGTTAGCCTCCCTGTCCATTGTCGTCGGATCTCAACTGCATCTCCGATTTGCTACAAACGTTTGATTTCTGAGAACGGAGAAAACCCACAAAGAGATAAGCAGAATCAAACCCTCAATTTCTGGAGTTTTCACCAAATTCTACGGCTTCAGTTTCCGCCATGGCCGTCGAAAATAATCTTCCTCTCTAAAGACTATACACAGAGAAATGGTTTGAAATTGTTTGGAGGAAAGAGAGACTCTTGAGAATGTGTTAGTGAGATTCGAACTCCTTATTGCCGCTTCTCTTTCTTCAGTTATCATAAGCCCATTGGGCCTCTATTTGTTAAAAGATGGATACTTTTTCTTAGGCCCAATCATGTTTTCAAGGTAAATTACAAACTGAGGCAAGTGTTGGAATAGTTTCATGGTTAGGTTTTTAAAAGTGGTTATTAAGGTTTGTAATTCGTCTCAATCAAATAATCAAGCTTTGATCTTACATTCTGAAATCTGATTCCGGAAAAAATTTATAGTTTTGATGTAGAACTCAAAACAAATAGATTGGTTTCACATTCAGAAGCTCGATCTATGAAGCTTTGGTTTGAATTTTTTATAATACTCATGAAAACAAAAATAATATTTTAAACGAAAGACATGTGAGATTTCTTCTAATGGTCATAGTTAAATGCTAACTCGAAAATCTGCTCATATTCATCAACGTAGTGAACATCGAGCCCTTTTTTCACATTTTGCGGTAAGTCTTCAAAAAGTTTCCGGTTTCCAACTGGAAATATTATCGTCTTGATCTGACTCCGTCTTGCAGCTAAAGTCTTATCCATCACCTGATAAACAGAGAGATTTTGTTTATTAGTATGATGAACTTGATAGCAACCGAAAAGCTAAAACAGAGTAATTTTAGTTTGCGTATATGACTTACGCCGCCGATAGGATGAATTCTACCGGTTAGACTTATTGCTCCGGTCATTGCAAGATCCTTCCTTACAGGCTTCTTTATGGCAAGTGATAGCAACGAAGTGCAGCCTGCGCTTGGACCTTCTATTGTTGTGGCTTTGGTTCGACCGTCATTTGTTAGGACACCGGTAAGACCATGTAGATGAAGCTTGGAATTAGCAAAGAACCGGTTCTTAGGTTCTTTCTCTAGCAAGAATCTTTTGGCAAACGTGTAAGCGATCAACGCGCTTTCTTTCGCCACATTCCCAAGCTGGCCCGTCATCACATCTAGGCAGCCTTTGCCTCTACCTTCTTCGAGTACATTTGTCTCAATGTAAAGTATATTCGTTGTCGACAGACCCGCTGCAACACCAGCAGGGGTTTGCTCATAAATTTTGTTGACATCAGGCTTCTCATTGATCTTTCCCGCAACGAAAAGCGGTTCGCCAACATAATCCGCAAGGTTTGAATTGTCAATTCTAATATTTTTAACAAGTGTTGTATCAGATGCATCTTCTCGTACTCGTTTAAGAGCACTCTATGCATAANAAAAAAAAAAAAGATCCCAATGATTTTAGATTCTTAAGCTTTCATTGTCTCTTACATTACTATATATAGATTAAGTCACTTAGGACGCAAGTAACTAAAAATGCTCCAAGATTTTTATTAACTTTTATAGCAAGTTACCTTGCGGTAAATCTTCTCAATCTGCTTCTGGAGATTCTTAACTCCATCTTCTCTGCAGTAATTTTCAATCAACGAACTAAGCGCCGCATGGCTCACGTCAACCTGATAACACAGTAGATAAACAAACTAAGCAAAATCCATAGGAAGGCATTCAAGCATGAGAAAATGAAGACCTGTTCAAGCTTAATGCCGCAATCTCTGCGTGCGGTTTTCTCCAAATGGTCCCTAGCGATATGAATTTTCTCATCAAAGAGGTAACCTAAGATAGTAATCACTTCCATTTTGTTTAGCAGAGGAATCGGAATCCCCACTGTCGACTTTGTTGTGCATATAAATAAAACCTGTAATCAAAACTTGGATTAGACTTCATAGGTTCAAATATGGGAATGAATAGAGATATTTTTTTCGAAAACTAAACCTTCGATAGGTCAATGGTAACGTTGAGATAGTGATCCATAAAATTTGCATTCAACTCTGGATCAAGAAGCTCCAACAACGCATTGAGTGTGTCGCCATTGTTGCCAATTCCAAGCTATATTAACCAAGGAACAATAAACAGTTATTGCAACTACTAATCTTCGAGTAATACTACAAACCAATCCAAATAGTAACAAATTAACCTTATCAATATCATCAATCAAAACAACAGGATTTGATGTTCCCGCAATTTTTAAACATTGCACCATCTTTCCCGGCATGGCATTGACTCCTGTTCGAGGACTCCCCTGAAAACAAGTTATAAGAGATTAACATTTTTTTTTTTTAAATTGAATGTAAAAAAGAGATTAAGAACTTCTTTTATCCTATCTGATTTATGTAGTTAACCTTGATGAGAGAAGCCGTAGATATGCCTCCTACATAGAGTTGAAAGAAGTTGCGGTGAAGAGCACGCGCAATAGAACGCGCAATAGAACGCGCAATGCTAGTCTTACCAACACCAGGAGGACCCGCGAGACAAATTATTTTCCCTGGTTAACACAAATTAGACAAAAAAAAAAAAAAGGATCATGAATATGATTGCTATATATATACAAGATTTAAAAAACCTTATACTAATATATGAGACTGGCCTTGTGAAGTGCCACCAAGTCTTATAGCAGCAATATGTCCTAATACTCTTTCTTTTACACTAGATAAGCCATAATGGTCCTCATCAAGAATCTTTTCTGCACTCATAACATCAGTCTTCTCATCACTACAAAGAAAAAAAAACGGATTTTGTTCATGACTATCCTCATGTACAACTACACGACCATATATACATAACTATTTATATGAATATGAATTAAAGTTAAGAAAAACCTGTAAATTCCCCAAGGCAATATGGTCAACCAATCAAGGTAGTTATAAACGATAGTAGACTCTATCGCCGCCAGTTTCCTTTGCTCTTCTTGTATAACTTGCATTACATGTTTTGGAATATTATCTTTGTTACGCTCAATTCTTTCATTAAACTTTTGCTGCAGAGAAAACACAGGCATGTTCCCATGCATAGTGTTTATCATCGTTATAGTATTCGATCCAAGTTTTTCCATCAGTTGGCTCACTTGAAAGTCTCTTAAGAAAATCTAAAAAACAAAAACAAAGACCGATTGAATGTTTTCTGTGTGATAACTCATTCATCAAACATCTACTTATATATACGAGAGAAACCTATTCTTAAAAGGAATTACCCAATAATGTTCCAAAACAAAAGATTTAATAAAGATAATTTTTTTTTTATGTTTTCTATGTATACGATCGGGCGCAAAATTTAACC